GTATAGGCTGTCCCTTTGCTTACTCTATAATTTGCTATTCGCTGCTTTTGCTGTTTATTATACCGCTTTTTGCTATTCTGGTTTTAGAGTAAGCTTCTAAAGTATTTTTTTAGCAAAATCAATTGTATCAAAAATGTTGAGTTAGGTCATTTTCACTTAATAGTGCAATACTTGCATATTGAGTCACTGAAAGCAGTGCATGATTAAGCATTTTACTTTGATCATCGGTTATGTAAACAATTGTCATAAAGCATCCTAATATTCAAATGCTGTTAATAACTTTATCAATGTTTCATCAATACGAAGTGATTAAACTACAACACTATTAATTGAACAGCTGTGTTAGTTTAACAATATTTTGATCAGCCTTTGAGAAACTAAGTGTAAGTCTATTAAACTATACCATTGACGTTATAGGTGCTAAAATAAGGCTGTAAGCTTTAACTGTAGGTCCATTCAAATGTCGTTAAATAGTCCATTCAAATGTTGCACGATTTAGAACGCCGTACACTGTATTTAGAGTTTAATTTATAATAGACTATAAATTCAATGTAAATGTTTCAGTGTATAATGGTTAAATTTAAACTTTGTACATGAATTGTAACATTACAAGTAAAACAAAAAAAAAGGTTGTAACACTGACGCTTAATATTCGTAATATAATAGACAAGGTACAAAGATAGTTGCAAGATTTGACTAGATCAAATATTCCAACAAATTGTGAATCTCCTTTTCTAAAGTGGGTTAAAAAGCTTGGAAAATAGACTAGATTTCTAAACATGCTTCATTCTTCAATTGTATTATTGTTACCATGTAGACAGTTGACACACAAGTGAAGAAATCGGCATTAAAACGTATGTTTAACTAATTGAATATACATATCCAACCACATAAATTGTAGAACTACAAGTCTAGAACAAGCCAGATGGTGTATCTGTGGGGACAATCACCCTGCATTCCATGCATGTGGCATCAGCGGTCGCCCTGTAAGGTGATGCGCTATACCGCGATTCGCGACACCTACTGTGCTAATGATTTATGAATATTACAAATATTTCTTCGAATCGTGTTCTGATAGAAATACATTTAGTTTGGAAGATCCGTGTGTGCCCAAGTCCTTGCTATATGTTAAATTAAAACGATTAAGGTAATACCTACGTAACTCAGCTTGATGTTAAAATATTGATGTCTAATGTTTTGTTTGTTTTTTGTTTTTTAAAAGAGACAACTCCCGCACTAGGAATAAATCCTGTGTCGCGGGGGACTTTACAAACATACATGAAACGGACACAAAGTACACCCAGACTCAGAACAACAATTTGTGGATCACACAAAGTGTTGACCCATGTGGGGTTTGAACCCACAACACTCGGCGTAATAGGAAGCGGCGTGGCGACCGCTTAAACCACTACGCCATCCGTGCAGTTGAATGATTATAATGTTGATCATAATACCTGTTGATTTTTTAAATAAACTGTTTTACAGTTTTACAGTTACTATTAATTCTGACTTGAAATCCATATTCAATAATTTAAGTATGAATTTTCATCACATCATCACATCAACAGCCTATAATAGTCCACTGCTCGACATAGGCCTCTCCTCAGAAAGGAGGTTTTGGCCTACTATACCACGCTGCGCTGGCCAGACGGGTTGAAATAGGGTTTGTTTAAAGTTTTCATTCTCTTTGCAGTGCTGTTGTCTTACATAGTTTGCTCCCTTAGTCGGCTCTTACGACACCCACGGGATGAATAGAGGTGGTGACATTCCGTATTCTTAATCCGTCACCACACAGAATTTACAACAAGATTCATTTAATACTGATTTATAAATCCATTCGTTCCGTACCCGGAGCGACATTTTTTAAAATTCTTTGAGTTAAAATTTAAAGCTCTCGTTTGTCGTGACATACTATACCTATTCTAATTGTTTTTACTTAAAATATAATTAAAAATTTAAACAACCTCGAACTACCTATTATTCTACTTAAAAAGTTAAGAAACAATTACATTTAGCTCATTCTAAACATACGGCGACAGACAGATAGTGCTAATTGCAATACTTACTGTGAATATAATGCCATGCCTTAAAATGTAAAACATTCAAGTAGAAAACAATCAAGAGACGTCTGAAGGAGTTATTACTTAACTTTGCTTCGTGTGGATGTTTCAACACTCACGCGCTTAAGAAAGAAAGAACATTTGTAATATTACACTGACACTTGAGGCACTTTTTCATTTTTTATTGTGTTCCTTTATATGTTAATAATGTATGCATTTTACAGTTTAATATTGTGAACTATAGTAACTAAACATCGTCAAGTATCACACAATAAGTGAGTGGAGAAAACGTAAATCATGTCAATTGTGTTTTTTCCACTGTATCGTATATCTATACCTTACATCTGTCGCACCAAAATCTGAATGTCAAATTCGTACTGGCAGTGGGTTCACCGTCTCTAGAAACCTGTGTTAGAAGTGGAACTACATGCCTAAATTTTCCATGTAGTCTTTTGATTATAAGAGTATAACATTGAACAGCCACATTTTACCTAAAGGCACGCAACATTTACATATTACTCATCATCAGTGATGTAATACAATTTCAATGTAAATCATCACCTAGGTATTTTTCTATACAATTTTTAATTTAATTCTTTATGCACAAATACGAGTTGTACAAAGACTTACTTTTTTTACTTACTTTTTCTCTTAGGGTGGTGCTGAAATGTGTGACAAGGCGCACTAGACATTATTGATGTGTAAAGTAAGAGAAAATTACTGAGCAGTTAGACAGAAACAATAAGATAAAATATACATACATACGTACCAAATACATACACATACATAAATACTTATCTAGTTACATACGTAGATCTATATACTCGTATTAATAGTACTTTAAGGTTGTAATGAATCTGCTAGAATCTTGAATGAAAGGCGGCTGGGTGGTATCCTGATTTCTAGATTGAGAGCGTTCCAGAGGATTTGATTAGGAATGAGGAGTGGACAAACGGAAGTTTGAATGGGGTATAGCAGAAGAGGATTTTTTGATGAACGGAGGGTTCTATCGTGGTTTGAACACAGAATTTTAGTGTGATTTTTATTATGCATTTATTAACTCTTTGTGTAGAAATCAAACTAGACGAAGTTAATGTTCGAATCAATTATGATGAATTTACGGTCTAAAGATATACAAGACTTTGGAAAAGGGCACAGACTACTTTTTGTCACGACAATAAACCCAGAAGGTGAATGCATAGTAAACAAATGGTACAGCTGATTAAAAATGTATTAAGTTTAGAGGTAGAAGATGTGCATGTTATAGAGTGCTCAGCCAGGGCACACTATTTAAACATGTTGTAACTACTCAATTAATAGAAATGGGTGACAATTTAAAATAAAAGGATTTCCGAATTACTTATTTTACGCAAACAAAATCACTTAAACCAACCAGTTTATTTATAACAGATAAAAGACTTAATGTTTTACTCTTATACCCCCATGGTAAATAGCATGATAATTTATGGCTTTTGATTAACTCGGCTATTAGGAATTATGCGTGCGAAATTTACCAGTATCGTTGTTTATTGGACATAAATCAGGGCTTAATTGTTGTAACGTGTTTTTAAAAGGTTTGATATCTTTAGTCGAAGATTAGTTTCTTTTTGTTAACAATACGTTTCGATCGTATTACACCGTTTGTAACGTGTTTTGCTACCTTATCATGCAGTGTTGATTTCTGTTTGTGCTGCCTTAAGCTTACATTAATAGAACGATTCCAGTAATTTAATGTTTTTATTTTTTGGTGAATTCAGTCGTTTCTGTTGAGGATTTGCATAAAATTCCCGTAGTTTAAATACCTTCATCGACCAGCTCCTTATTGACTTTAAAATTTCTTAGACTTAATTTATTAACTTTAAAGTGTTTTAAATGTTTTCTATAATTGTGCGTTTGATGCTTGCATTGCGTAACCTGGGGTCTGTATATAAATAAATTTTTGTTTTAGCTTTTTTGGCATTAGTGATTTTTCATACATCCAATAGTAATCGCTATTTTTGGTGTTCCTTTCAGATATTATGGTAATGTGAGATATGTATAAGAAATGTATCTATACAATTGTAATACGTTGCTGTGGAAAGAGAGTTTAAAAAGTTCAAACTTGAGTGAAGTGGTCTAGTAGGTGTATTGATTGGCTTATGTCAGGAGCTACAATCTTAAGTTCCGATCACGTGTGGTTACTAGAGATTAGTGGACCATAAGCACATATAGTGTAGGACGCCCTCAGGCTAGGTGGAGTGACGATTTGCGCAAGATGGCTGGCAGGAGCTGGATGCGAGAAGCCCTAAATCGATGTAAGTAATTGCGTGAGGCTTATGCCCAGCAGTGGAGTGCGATAGGCTGATGATGAAGCACATACAAATACTTACTCTAGCATTGGCACTGAAATCACATCAATCATATTTGACAGTATCATATACATTACGGTATCTTTTTGGGATCCTTTACCATCTGACCGCTCTATGTATTAGTATAGTGGGACTCGTATCTCTGACAAAAGGCAAATAAACGACACGTAGTTTTTAAGATTGTTTATTTTATAAACAACTTACTTTACAAACAATGTCATAACGTTTGACTGTAGAACCTTTAAATACAACATTTATACTATAACTAAATAGAAAAAAATATTCTAATATCACAGATATTTTTTATAGACACTATATATTCGCTTAAAGTTTAAATATATCATCTGTTATTAGAATTCATAATAATATTTATGGTTATGTCTATTTATTTGTCTTTGTACATTTTTAGCGGTATTTTTGTAAAAATAATATCACATCATTAGTCCTTTCCAATTATCCATTTCTTTTAAACTTTTAGAATTTTTATATATTATGTTTAATTTTATATCGCACTTATATTTTATGGAAGATTCTAAACACTCGTTTATGTACGATATGTTGTCAATTTACTCAGGTTAACATAAAAGTGATGCTATCTTGGGCAAAATTTAAAATGAGGGAACAGGAAACAATGCAGCGACAGGAATCTGAAACAATATCACACTTTTAATATGTTTCTAGTAGAAAGTAATTTGTTTCTTTTAGATATTACTATTATGTTTTGTTGAGAAAATTTTGGAAAGATTTTTCATAGTGTGTCACACACTAAATTCCGATAGCTGAAGTAGTTTTTTAGTCGTTTCAAATTTAAAAGCCGACGTTTGAGAGTTCTACCTACAGCATAAACAACGATGATGGTAAAATATTTAATTTTTGTGCGTCAAGACCGCCAATTTGTCGACAGCATTTTATAACTCTACTTCATTTTAACTTTGACAATATCTGTCAAACCCTAAAGTTTCGTTTCGTTTAACGGTCTTTGTTGATTTAAATGTGTGAATAATATGAAATTTCTTGCCTCTTGGCAAGACAAAAATAGGAATTGGCACTTCAGTGTTACTTAGTTATAAATATATTTATGATGCTCTAGTGATAGGAGATGACAGATTCCTAACATAGACCGGACGAAAAAATACAAATTGAAATAAACCTTCATACCTCGTAGGGTCATATCGTGTATCAAATCCTGGCACGTTGACGACATTCCATTCGTCTTTAGCTTTTGCATAACTGAAGGATATTTGATCCCGGAATGTTTCAGGAGCCAATAGTTTCATTTGTTCTAAATGTGAATGAAATTCCGGTACTAAAGTTAGATTTTTCTTCAACATATGTTCTGAAAAAAATTAATCATCGTTAATATTCACACCCTTAACTTTTTATTCCTAATGTTATTCATTTTCATGATATAGAGGCAAAGCTACCCTCGCGCATGAACGCCTTAAGTCAGAAGTCTCAAGTGCGTTGACGGCCTTTGAAGTATGCTTTTTTCTACAAGGTTTGGAGGTCGATTTATTATAAAAATACCGCAACAAGACAATTTGTTCCACAGATTGGTTATACGAGGCAAAACGTTTCTTGAAAAGCGCATCTTATGTATGTAAAGAAAACACTCACCAATAATAAAGCCAACGGAGACGTCATCTGGTAACCGTATTCCTTCACAAATGCTGATGAACCGGCCACCGCTGTAAACATATTGAGGTTTAAAGGTGTGCCGAGATCAAAAAAAAAGGTAGTTTTTCTGGTTATACTTAACAGTTTAAACTGTAGCCATTTGAGATAATAAGATAAGTGTGTAATGTTTCATTCAGATTAAGAAATCAGCAATATTTCTAATCCAAATCTGTGGATTTCTGTTCATTTTATCTAAAATATTATTTTCAAAACACCCTTATCTGCTTTCAAACTTATCACTTCAGATATTCTATCAATGAACCTCTATATGCAAGTGCATGGACTGACCCAGTGCAATTAAAATTTAACCTGTATTTTTAGGAGTTTAAATAACTGTTTAACAGTGTTTCGATTTTACACAGTACAGTACAAGCATGTTAGCTTTATTTCTCCTAAAATATGGAGTATGCTGAACTTCTTCATATACATAGATAAGAATTTGTTTATTGTAAGTGCTTTTCTAGGAATATAAAATTAAGCTAAGCAAACAAGTTGATTTTATGTCAGTGTCTCTTTTTATATTCAATGAAAACTGACAGTGTCATATTACAAAGGAATTTATTCATAGATAAAAATATAATATTTCATTTTAAGTGTGTAGTTTGGTTGGTTTAGTTTCATTCTAAGTTACTAACAGACTGCCATTATTTTTGGTCGCAAAAACTTTATCAATTAATAATTTTGAAAAGGGATCAAAATTCCTCATTATGGAGAGTGTAAGGAGTTTGGTGGGAAACCCTTTGTTGAATTTAACGAAGTTAATGTAGCAATTGCGTTATTATGTTTTAATTAGAAAGTTTTAAGCACTCACCTTGCAACAGGTAACATTTTCAAAGCCAAACTTCTGCTTATGCAAAATCCAGCACCGCCCGTGGCGAACCAAAATGAGAACATCAACTGAAACAAATTAAACTTTAATAACTAAATTTTAAAATCAATTCTGGTGATCTGAGCTAAGTTATTCGTTAGAAAAATATTAAAAACTGGAATAAACTGCTAATGTTGACGGTGGATAAATACCTGGTTGGTAGCCTTTTTATATATTTTGACTGGCTCGTAAATAGACGTCCGTCCCAAGTACCAGTCTTCTTGATGATTGTACTTTTGTAAAACGCTGACCAAACGAGGCACATTCACGTAGTTGTCGTCGTCGAAATGACAGAACCATCTGTTGTAGATAAAAAAGATATTATGTTAATATTGCGCATAAACGTACCTATGTATATCTTTTAATGATAAATAATTCTACTCCTTGTAAGAAGTTTAGAGACATCTGAGCCTATTTAATATATTTTCATGTTTTGATATCATTAAGGTTTCTAGTAAATCCACCTGTTAAAGACTTCTGTTGACGACTAATTAAACCAAACCAGAATAAAAGCCCGCTATTTCGGGTTATAGCTAGCTTTATAATTGAGAGTACATAATTATCTATACATGGTGTTTACAAAGTTGTATGGCGAAGAATTTCCTCCTGGTGCTAATAATTAGCGTCTTGGTATAATTTACCAACATTAAGCTTGGCTGCAAATAACAGGAGCTGCGTACACGCAAACCGTAATCACATATTGCAATATGGCGTACGACAAATGGCGGCGAATCGCCTACTACAATTTGTAATCTGGATTGGGTTTCTTGCATATCGAGTTTGCATTTGCGAAATTTGATCGCCCGACGCGTATATCTTGTGCGACAGCTGTTTAATTGCGGGTCGAAGGTATTTATTACTGCGTGGACCTAACTTTAAGTATATTATTAACTGGGCAAGAGCTGAACGAATTATTTCGCTTACTATATTATTTCAATACTCGACTGTAATAACTATTGTGGGTACTTAAATATTGTGAGAGCTTCAAATAAGGTTTATGATTTATTTATAGACGTATTTATAATAGGTAGTTATCACAACCTGTCCCGTTGATATTGATCATAACTATAACTTAGTATTACAAAAAGTGCATTGTTTCAAAATACTGACTTACGGTTTGCGACATTAGGTAACATTTTTAAAATGCCCCCCGAGATGAACTTTAAATACATGGAAAAACATATAATCTAGTACACGTTTAAAACGTACAAAATCAATTTTCTTTTCCTATTTGATGGTTTATAAATTAGCTGGGGCAAAGCACAAAACATTTTTTTAAAGACTTAACTAGAAAAACCAACAAGAACGTCTCCTGCATAAGCAATTAAACAACGAAGACAATACACTGCTATACGAGTGTGTGTGTGTGTGTGTCGGTAGTCTGTATTCAACCAAACACACAACAGCAAGACATCCATCGTAACTCGTACCTTGTTACTTCAAGGAGAACACTAGAAATGAATGGTTCATGGTAAGTAGTAGTACTCTATGTTAGAAAAGCCATATATATCACTTCAATATCAATAAAATATTCAAGAACTTGTTTCGACTCACAACTACAATAAAATCGACTTTAGGATAGCTATTAACTTCACTAGAGAGCAATAAATAGCAGATAGATGAATGCTTGTCGAACGCATGGATTCTATCGTCTACTTTGTTTTTGCCTACACATCGAACTAGGTAATATGAATAACCCTATACTACACTACTATACTATTTAATCTCTACTACTGTTAATTGAAATAATGAAATAAAAGTTTGTACTCATATACTAATAAAACGTAACGTTTTGATTTAACCCCTCTAAACTATCTCTTACTTTAATGATGATTTGGCAGATTTTTTCAAAATATTAATCTATCATATTTATTTTTACGAAACACTAGGAACCTCTTCTGATACTTGGTCTACTCTTTCCGCCAATAATAATATAATATAGTTTATTGTTTCTCTCACACAGAACGGCAATACATTAGTCAAAACAAAACAAAACAAACATTCATTAGACAATTGGAATGGTTCTATGTGAAAGACTGGTATCTGTACTAGGACAGACCTGTATGACAGATTACCAGCCTCTCCCAGCTCTGGATTAATGCAGTACTAGATGTAAAGTAGGTGTTATCGTTGAGTGAGAGTGTATAACAATTACTACCCAGTGGCAGTGTGTTCGTACATAAATGAAAGAATGTGTGTGCGCGTGTGTTTGTGGGTGAGTGTGTATATGTTTAGGCGTGTGTATGTGTTTGTGTGAATGTATTGTATATATTGCGTAAATGTGCATATTGCGTGCGTAAATGTGTTTTAGAATATATATGTGTGTGCATAATAATATAATATAAAAAAGCAGAAAAAAAATAATATGGGAGCCCACTTACGTGTATAGTGTTGTATTACGATGGAATATGTAAAAGATTTTCTGTTTCATCGTAACTGAGGGACTTGAGCCAACATGTGACAGCCTTATTGCAATGGAAACGTGTATAGGGGTATATGTTAATCAGTTTGTTGATTTTATTGTAAAGATATCCTCCCAGAAAGCCAAAGAATCTCTTAGAGAACGCCGTAGTCCATTGAGTGGTCACTGTGTCACAGATATGATGTCTCCGACGCTTGAGATTGAGAGTAGAAGGGTCATAAGTAAGAGCGGCGTGCTGTTTCAGTATGATTCCCAAGATAAATAGTTGTCTCACTGTTAGGACATCGGTAAGACGATACAGGTCTTTAGTAGGGTGAAGAAATGACAAGGACCGACTCACCTTTAAAACTGCCCGCTGAGCTCTTTCTAATTTTATGAGATTGCTCTTACATGCACCGCCCCAAACCGTTACACAGTAACTAATCATAGACTGGCAGAGAGCCAGATAAACCATTTTAATGACCTGTGCCTCTGCTATATGTCGTAGGTTTTTAAAAAGAAACATTAGTTTACGAACTCTTGAAGATAGTAGGTCCAGATGGTGACTAAAATTCAAGGAACTGTCCAATACAACTCCTAAGTACTTAATGCTGGAGGCTTTGTTAAGGTGAGCGCAAGAGCAAGGGTGACAGGGTGAGCATGTATGATATATAATACCATGGTTGTCCCGCATAGGTGGTATACTTTTGACAGAAAAGGGCAAATAAAACGTTTTTCCAGAATTAAGCGTCAGCCCATTATCTTTAAGCCATGAGGACACAACGTTAAGTCCAAGTTGTGCGAAGCCATACGCATCATCCCAAGAGTCACCATGGAAAACCAATGCAGTGTCGTCGGCGTACGTCACTATCTTTCCATTTAAGAGTGGGAGATTGCACAGGTCATTAATGAAACACAGAAAGAGCGTGGGTCCCAGGACGCTACCTTGGGGCACTCCGTAGTCGATAGGTAGATCATCACTAACGATGTCGCCCACCCTAACTCTCTGCAGTCTGCCAGTCAAATAATCAGAGAACAAGTTAAGTTGAGTGTTACGGATTCCCAGCCTCTCAAGTTTATCCAATAGGAGTGGGACGCGGACCGTGTCAAATGCCTTAGCCAGATCCAGAAATACCCCCACAACTTTCTTCCTCTGGTCGAGTTTGCGTACTATGTGGTCGGTCAGTTCATGTACAGCATCGTTTGTTGAGATGCCAGCTCTGAATCCAAATTGTGAATTCGACAGAAGGTTCTTAGACTCGAGATAGTTCGTAAGTCGTTTGTTCAAGAGCTTTTCAGCAATTTTTGAAATGGCTGTAAGGATGGAAATAGGTCTATAGTTATTAACACAGTCCACGTCACCACTCTTGTGAATAGGAATAACCTCAGCCAGTTTAAATTCCTTCGGGAAGACTCCAGTGCTAAACATTAAGTTAAATATGTATGTAAGAGGTGGGACTAGTATTTGGTGATACCGTTGCAAAAAATAACTAGAAATACCATCGCGGCCGATGGATTTGCCTTTTTTTAAGTTTAAAATATAGTTTGAAACCTCTGTCTCATCTGTTGGAGTCAAGACGAAAGAAAAAGGCTGAGAATCGACGTACTGGAGATGATTACGGGAGTTAGTGTACATCATTTTATCGGCGAGGTTTTTACCAATGGACGCAAAGAGTGTATTTACCTTGTTAACTGACATGTATGGGTCAGTAGGAGAGAGCAGATCAGAGGCTGTGGTATATTTTTTATTATTGTATGCAATTTGTTTAATGGTGTCCCATAACATTTTAGTACTGGTATTAGCCGCCTTATTTATAGAATTTGTTTCGTAGTCTCGTTTTAGTTTTTTTAGTAGGGAGTTACAGAAATTTCTATACCTTGTATACGTGGTCTTGAGTATGGTGTTGTTAGGATATTTCTTTGACTTAACGTGTAGTTTGTCGCGATTTTTCATACAACGCAATAGACCAACCGTTATCCACGGCTTCCTGACTCGCCTGCGATTGGGAATTGTAGATATTGCAGTGTTTCCTTGTATTTTAGAATGTATCTCCGTGATTAAGCGAGAGGTGGCCATATTCACATCAGAAGTTTGGTAGATAGATTGCAAGCGTATATTGTCCATGTCATTGTCTAGTCCGTCATAATTAATTTTCATGATTTCTATTGGTTTCGTGGATCGGGTATGATGTCAATCAACAATCAACAATCAACAGGCGTTTTGCCATAAAAGCTACAAGTGAGGTTTACGAACATTTTATGCTCGTTAACAAAAAAACCATTATGATTAAATACATAACATCACATTGACTTTAAATAATCCGGTTAATTTTCAACATCAATGACTTTGAACCAATAAAAATCTGTATAGACCTTAGAATAGCGTTGTTATTTTAATTTAATCTCCAAACAACAAACATGTCCATTTATTATGTATATGCATGAAATATGTACATATTATTTATAACTAACAGTATATATATAATTTATCACGTTATTTGTATTTGTAAGTTGTAATAAATGAATCTTTGAATGACAGATTAGATTAGTTATTATTTTTTGACGTATAACAACACATAAATAAAAACAACGATTGATCAGATATAACACTAGAAATATGTTGACTTGCTCGCAAATAGTAACGCTATTAGATTTTTTTTTGTGAGACGTGCGACATGATCGAGTTTTAAGCCAATTAGTGTTCGCCTGGGACTAAAAGAGAAGGACAATTTGTGACGGCTGAAGTTGGAAATAGATCTGTGACATTTAGTTTTGGAACGCAATACACATGGGTAAAAATTATAGGAAAATATTGTTTTAGCATATTTATCCTTTTGTTAAGCTTTTTACACACTTTTTATTAGCTTCATCTGTATGTTTGTTTGTAACCGATTCTTTT